CTGGATATTGATGAGAAAACAGCTTGACGCTGCAATGGGCAGCTGGTAGGATGGGTATACTGCAGTAGAAGGTTGCTGAAATCCTAGGTACAGTGCTGGTCGACAGTGAAAAAAGCAAACAGGATCTTGGGATCTGTGGCTAACGGATAGAGAATTTGTCACAAGAACAACAACAAATTACAAATTGTATAGCACCTTTCACGTCGGAAGGACGTCCCAAGGTGCTGGACAGACAGAGTTACGGACCCGAGCTGGGGCATGGGGGAGGATGGAGGGCAGTGGGGGAAATAGGGAGAGAGGGAGGAGGGGGGAAGATGGTTATGCTGACTTTGTACAGCCCAGCTCCATCTGAAGTACTGCTTACAATTCTGGTCACTGAATCACAGACATCTTGCATTAGAGAGGATACAACAAAGGGCAGCTAGATTGCTAGCTGGAATTAGGCATCTAATTCGCCCACAAAATATGCAGTCAATTCACTTTACAGTATATTCTGTGAAGTGCTTTGAGACGTCTCAACAATGTGATAAGGTGCTGTAAAAATGTGAGGTTTATTATTATTGTGCTCTCGCAAACTATTCAATAATCGCTGATGAGTTTTACGAGTAATTTTCTAGCTTATCCCCAGTGCCGCAAACATCAGATCTTTGTACTTGGTGCCAGCATCCAACATGTTTTTCGCAGATGAGCCAACCTTTGTAGTTTTTCTTTTGAATGCATAGTTATTCTTAACCACTCTATGTTCAGTGCAGTATTAATTGCAAGGTAGAATGTGAGGCTTAACCAAGCACGGCCTGCTGTCTGAGTGTAACTGGTGACTGCTGACCGGTTTAGCAATTGCTAGTGCGTAATAGGAGCTCTGCAGAGCATAGCTACATCTTTATATATTGCATAACCACAAATGCTACACTGGCAAATGGAATCAGTAAGGAGCATTTAGTTCAATTATACAGGGACAAGATGAAAGCTCCTTCAAACCACATCAGACCAGTGTNGGGGGGAGTGGAGGAACTTAGAGGCGAGCCATGTATGTGGCCTGTTGGCTTTTGGAGCCAGTGGCTAATTCAGTCGCAGCCGTTGTCACCTTGAGCAAATGGGTGAAGTAGTAGGCAAGACTGAACCTACAGTTTGTTGTAAATGCCTCGAATTATTGTTGAGAAATCTAGATATTTAACCAGTTATACGTGGATATTGCTGGCGTGAGTATTAAGTTTGCCTTCACTTTCCAATATGCTTCAGTATCCACAGCCCCAACTTGTGTTGCTTCCAAATTCAGGTCCATTCCAAGCTAGTGGAATGGTCCCACACACTGCACTCCACTGCAGTAAGATCGTGTTTGCTCCTGCAGCTCTTGCAAAAGAAAACATTTTTTTATAGAATGTTAGCCTATCTTTGCATCTGAAAGCACGTCACAGGTAATTTAGTGGATTGTTAGTGACCTATTCTTAGAGGTGTATGCTACTGCCATGAATTACTGGTTTATCTGGAGGAATGTTGGCCTCATCTGGAGAGACGGCCGTTTGTTTAAATAGTCTCATAAGATTTTTGATGCCCAACTGAACAGACAAAGAGGAACTTATTTTATTTAATATGTCATCCAAAGAACAGAACAGCTTTGCCACTGTAGTGTACTGGAGGAACAGTAACCGAGTTCTTGATATTGATCTTAAGCCCACATTTTTTTTACAGATGGATCATCATTGAAGTTTAAATGATAGGCTGGACATTGTTTTGTAGCTACATGCATTGCAAAGCAAAAATACTAACTTCCAGTGTTCGTTTGTTTAGAAGTAGGGTTTGTTTTAGATCGGGTTTTAATGATGAATAAGTAGTAATCAGTTTGGGGATGAATTAAGCTAAAGTTTGAATTCAAAGCATTTTAGTAATGGGTCATCCCCGAACTGCAAGGCCATTAGGATCAGATTATTCTTTTACGTCCCATCTTGTATTATCTTTTGAAACACTGGCTGAACCAGATGTTTCGGTTTAGTTCACTGGGTACTGAAGATCACTAAGCGAGGCTAAAATTAAACTAGCATATTTCTCACTGCTGTATTTATAAAAATAAATGTGGTTAGTTATTTTTATATTAAAAAAAAAGCCTGTAGTGCCCATACTGACCTCTGCCCTGAAATTCTGTGGTACAATTGGCCTGCCCTCCTCACCAACTCCTGAACTTTCAAGAACAAAACTTTCTGATCAACCAATTCAGTTTGGATCCGGGATGTTTATCCACGACTGTTTGTGGGACGCTGCTGTGCGCAATTGGCTGCCGTGTTTTGCCCACAAAATATATAGTCAATTCACTTTACAGTCTATTCTGTGAAGCGCTTTGAGGCGTCTCGAAGACGTGATCATCAGCTCCAGCTGCTTGACCCAGAAGCATATTCCAACTCGAGCAGAAACAGAACTCAACCAAACTATAGAATCATTTTAGTTTTCCACTCGGAGCAGCAGAGTTCCTTTTATAGTAATTATAATAATAATCCTTGCATTTGGCATAGCGCCTTATCACATTGTCGATCTCTCAAAGCGCTTTACAAGATATACTGTTCTGTAAAGTGGAATGACTGTGTATTTTGTGGGCAAAAGTGGCAGCCCATTTGCGCACCGCAGCCATTGAGATAGTAACATAACATAACATGTAGGAGCAGGAGTAGGCCATTCGACCCTTCGAGCCTGCCCCGCCATTCAATCATGGCTGATCTTCTAATCTAACTTCAGCTAATAACCTGACACTGCCTTATCCCCATATCCCTTTTGCAATAAGAAACATATCTATCTCAGTCTTGAATATGTTCAAGACTGAGCGTTAACAGCCCTTTGGGGTAGTGAGTTCCATACATTCACCACCCTTTGAGTGAAGAAGTTCTTCCTCAACTGAGTGCGAAAGGGCTGCCTCTGATTTTAAGGTTGTGACCCCTGGTTTTAGTTTCTCCAACCGGGGAAACAATCTCCCACTATCTACTCTATCATGCCCTTTGATGATCTTATAGGTTTCTATAAGATCCCATCTAATTTTTCTATGTTCTAGAGAATATAGGCCCAAATTGGTCAGCCTACCCTCGTAACTCATCCCCTTCATCCCTGGTAGTAACCTCGTAAATCTACGCTGCACTCCCTCCAAGGCAAGTACATCCTTCCTTAAATAAGGAGACCAAAACTGCACAAGGTATTCCAGGTGTGGTCTCACCAGGGCCCTATACAGTTGCAGCAAGACTTCCCTACTCTTATACTCTAATCCTTTCATAATGAATGCTAACACACCGTTTGCCTTCCTAATTGCTTGCTAAACCTGCAGACTAACTTTCTGTGATTGGTGTACAAGGACACCCAAGTCCCTCTGGACGCTAACACATTCCAATCTCTCCCCTTCTAAAAAATAACCCGCTCTACTGTTTTTGCTCCCTAGGTGGATGACTTTGCACTTCCCTACATTATACTTCATCTGCCACCTACCTGCCCAATCACCTAACCTATCTATGTCTCGCTGCATTTTTTTAATGTCGTCCTCTGTGTTGACCCTTCCTCCTAGTTTTGTGTCATCCGTGAATTTAGATGTAATTGACTTTTTCTTTAATAGGCACATTTCTACCTTGTCCTCCTTCATCTTCTATCATCTGCCAACTACTAAATATATTGATGTGCCTGCCTTTCATTGAAGAGGGCTTGTGTAGTCGAGCAGCAAATTGAGAATGAACGTTGCTCTAAACTACCTTTGGGAGCATGATTTCCACTCGTGGGGGAAATGTGGCATCCAATTGCAGGCAGCAGTGTCCTACAAACAGTTATGGATTGAGTGACCAAACTATTATTTTTTTGAAGGGATTATAACCCCTGGAAAAGCGATCCGTCAATCGACTGACAGCCGAGTTCCTACTTACTGCTAGGTAAACAGAGGCGTGTGGAGTAAGGAAACTTGCCCAACGTTTTGCCCTGTAATATTTATCACAAGCTCTTGGTAAATTTAAATTCTGATGTTCTCTAGGAAATGAACCATTGTGATCCGTTCAAGAATTGGAACTCCAAGAGCTCTCTAATTAACTTCTCAGAAACTTCCTATTGTTAGTTCAACATTCCCTTTACATGTATTTGCTTTAATTGAGACACAAGGGGAACTCGTTTTGCTGGAAATGTTATGGTTGGATTAGAAGCTTTGATAGACTGCCTGCACCTTAAAGGGGTAGTGTACTCAGAAATAGTTGGCATCAGGTGAGGCATTTAAACTGTCCAAAAATATCATTGCAAACAAACACACAGTGAATGCAGAAGCTCACCACTATGTTTGATCCTGACGATCTGTCCATTTTTCTATGCCAGAGTTTGTGATTTGCGAGCCAAAAATTCCTGACTGCATTGATCATTCTCAGCTGAAACTAAACTTAAAATGTAAAACAATTCAACCATTTACCATGCTTTTTTATATACTAAAGTCAGCCTGGACTATGACTTCAAGACCGGTTTTAGGCTTAGAAATAATGGAGTGTTCAAATGTTTTTTTCCATCAAACAAACCCACAACTTTCAATGTAAAACTTTCTATTTGATTGAAATTAATTTAAGACATTATTTGATACGAGAATTTTTTTTTTGCTTTCCAAAGGCAGTACTGTTTCCAAAAGTCACAGTCTTTATCCCTGAGGAGAGAGACAATGATGGGTCATATTTGTGGTGGAATGAATGTAATGTTACTATGACAGAACTCTGCAACTGTGGGTCCAAAACACTGATTGTCCAGTACCTTGGGACGTCCTCACGACGTGAAAGGCGCTATACAAATGTAATTTTTGTGGTTGTTTGTTGTTGTAATCAAATGTTCTGCTGTCCTTGAAGTGCTGAAACCTTTGAAAATTTAATTTGTTGAAGACGACACCTTAAAGAAGACATTTGTTTCTATAACGCTTTCTCTTTCAAATCTACAGAGATACATAAATCTTGAGGCAAGCAAAAATATTACATTGTTTTATCCTTTTTGCTAAAACCTGTTACTCTTTCTGTCAGGTACGCTACTTGAAGATTATCGAAAAGAGTGGCTATCAAGCATTGCCGTGGGTTCGATACATCACCCAAAACGGAGGTAAAGAGCGCTCGCTCATCCTTTGCTACGGTTAACATTTGGAATGTTTTCTGATTTCCAGTATTTTCTTTAGCACACTCTATGAATGTACTGTTAGCCCTCGTGCCTTCCAAGGCTTGATGTTGTACCCAGATAAGGCCACCGCTTGCTGTAAGGGTTTGTCAGCTGTAGAGGCAATAACAACAACTTGCATTTATATAGCGTCCTCCTTACGTTACCCTTCACGTAGGATAGAGTCCAGGAGGCATCTCTGCCCAGTCTCCGCATACTGTTTTTCTGTTTCAGAGCAATTACTTACCTCTTGTGAAGCAGTTGGGTTTTTATAGCACCGTGCTCCTTTGCAATGTCCAAACGCTTCAAAGATAATCACTGTCAGACGAGGTGACTGATTTGGAAACAATTGTATGCAACACATAAACAGCCGTGAAGTGAATGAGCAATTTTACCTGGAGGGTCGCTGGCCAGATACCCGGAGAAACTGGTTTCTTTAGCTGTCACATCAATAACAGTACAGGTTTATATGTCAAGATCTGTGAGATAGAAAGCAAATGCAGAGTCTGGATTCAAGATGTTGGCATTGAGACTGAGGTCAGGGAGTCCTACACATCTGGGCAATTCACATTTAATACTTACAGCGTCTCTTACTTTAGACCACACAATCGGAGCAGGTGCAAGGACACTTTTTAGCACTTGAGAATTACAGGGTCCTTGTAGAAAGTCNTTTTTTCAGTACTAGGGTAAATCATGTGTGCTGTGAGGAGACTCCTATTTGTAATTTTGTGCTGAACTCTTCCATGAATTTGCACCACAGGTCCTCTAGGGAGCACTCACCCATATATTAAAAAAAAGGTTAGAAGGAGGTTAGAAGATCTCTCTTTCAAACAGAAGCTTGTTGCGATGTGGAATGTCTCACTACAATTGGCTGCTGATGGCAGGTTCGAAGCGATGTTTAATAGGAACTGGATAAATATTTCCAGAAGAATATGAAATGTTATGGTGAACATGTAGGGGAATGGGATTAGATAGTTGTTGGGGAGCTAAAACCACGACAGACGCAATGAGCTGAATTGCCCTTTTCTGTGCAGTAAGCGTTCTCTGATCCATAAGTACATGGTATCAGTTAGCTGCTCCCCCCCCCCCAAAAAAAAAGACTCAAATCAGTTATTGAGCTCAGTAAATCTAATTCAACAAGTGTTGGATGGTGCACGTGCCAGTGATTTGCCGTCCCCCACCCCTCCGGCCAGACAAGTTAGAAATATAGGTAACAGAGGAGGACATTCAGCCCATCAGTCTGTTCCACCATTTATTTTGAACATGATTGATGTTATAATCCCATTCCCCCCCCCTCCCCTTTTCCCATTGCATTATTTATTCTTCCAACTGATAATCCGTCATAATTATTTACTGGGGCTCACCTGATAGCAGTTAGGAATGTCCACAGCCAACTAGATGAGGAGGTGCCACACTCAAACCCTGGCTGACTTCAGATGGGGGACATTACCATTCGTTCCAACTACAGTTGTCTCTAAAGATTGCCATTCAGTGAATCTTGCTGGAAAGTACGCATAGGAATGTGGATTGAGATTCAGATCAGATTGCCTGTTACGCTCCCAGAATATAGCCCTGCGTTGCCTATCAGAATGGCCACCTGGGTAAGCTTCTGTAGAGACCCCAGTACATGAGGAGCAATACCTCCCTCATTGTGACACATAAGCTTCGGTTGGTGGGGAAAGAGTCTAAATACATTTTTAAACTAGTTGAGCAGGTGTTTTGCTAGAAGCAAAAGTTCACATATCTACACTGAGATAGAAAAAAAATCTAGTCTTCTAGGCTTGGTTTGTGATCAGCCTTGTTAAAAGTTTCTTCACCTATGTTATAATTATAATAATCCTTGCATTTGACATAGAGCTTTATCATGGCGTTGAGACTTCTCAAAGCACTTCACAGAGTCTACTGTAAAGTGAATTGTCTGTGTTTTGTGGGCGAAACAAAATGTTTCATGTATGCATTTAAGTAAATTATCCGTGCATCAGTACACTAAAGTTCTTTCTTTTCCACCCTGCAATCCCTCCAAAGGCTTTTATTCCAGACATACGAGTTCAAATCTGAATCATTAAAGTTTAGTCCCGGAATCATCCTTGTGAATCCTGCCTGAAATCAGTCCAGTGCATTTATAAGTTCATAAATAAGGAAAGTAATTAGACAGTGAGAATAATCATTCCGTGCGAGCAAGCAGCTTGCCTGAGGCATCTTGATCTTTTCATTTTCCCCGATGGCATTTTCCCATCAAAGTAAACATAATGTATAGTCTATCCACTCCAGTCTTTAATGGGAGATATATCTACCTGATATAAAGATCAGAAATGTGCAGCCCAGCAGAACTCCCTTTCATTTTTAATTAAATGAATGTGGTTGTACCTGTAAAAACACTTGATAACGTGACCTGGGAATGTATACAAACACTGCAAAAGAAACCAGCAAATATACTGCCAACAATAATCCTTGCATTTGATCAGTGGGTTTTTTTTCCAAAACATTTCATAGCACTTCAAAGTAAATACTGTTGAGTGTAGGAAATGTATGATCTTAAGAAATGGTTGCATTAAAAGTGTGTGCAGGATTATTATGATTTGAAACGGTTCTGTTGTACAGACAGGAACACAAGGGTTTTATAAATAGGATAATGGAAGGATGCAATTGAATTGTAAGGTAATTCAGTCCCCAAAACACACTGATGACAGCATGTACTTGTACAGTACTGAGAGTTAATTGCAAATTATTGTTAGCAGAATGACTGGATTTGAGGAAGTGCCTTGAACTTTTTTTTCACGTGTTTTCTTTGTGCTTTGTAATGATGAGACAATTGTAGGTTATATAATGCAAATACTTGATTTGTACAAATGGAGCAATGAGCACAATAGCCAGGGCGTTTTGGAGAGATTACAGGTAATCTGCATGTAATGCTTTGACTAAGATAGTATGCATGTTAAAATGGGAAATTAAAGTATATAGATTGATTGCACGAAGGATGTTGCAACAAGATTGTTGTGTCAGCTCTGTTCTTTTGTAAGTGTAAAATAACATCGAGCTGTTGTGGTTGGTCCGGACCGTGTGCGCAAATCTTATCTGATGTCTTTCTCTGAAAATATCACCATCATATCTCTGAGAATCTTCCTCTTTCGTAGCTCTCATGTCTTTTTGAAATGCGAGGCCAAAACAATTCAAATAGTTGGCAACGTTAATCCTCAAACTGGAGAGGGTGGTTGAAGATACTTTTATTTTGTTTCTGAGGTCTTTTTGCTACAAATGTTTTTCACAACTGCACCGAGCTACAAGTGGCCTCATAGTGTTTTCTTTTTATTGATGGATTATGCACAACCGCAGAATAGTTCTAAAAGCCTAACTTTTAGAAGCTATGATTGCATTACAGTAATCTCTATGGACTTGTTAGGAATGTTTGATAAGACTGTCGCTGTTAAGACTGTTTGAGATTTTGCTACTAACCCATTGGTGACTGGAAGCACTTTTTAAAATCACATGCTGTGGACAGACGAGTGAGGAATATATTTAGTGGTACGCCATTTTCCACTAAATCCCCCCCCCCCACCCATACCCTTTTAAATCTTCCTAGCACATGATTACACAGTCACTACACTTTACAGTAACCTATGAGTGATACTTCTGTATCCTGTGATGTGCTTTGAGCTATTGTCTTGACTAAGGATTATTATTACAAACTGTAAAAACTATTTTACTCCTATCTTCTGACCGTATTTGAGAAAGCAAGGGCTTGTTCATATCTCATATAAATTGGCACACAGGCAACACCCGGTTGCACTAAACTGTAGAGAGCAGGAAATTACAGATTCAATTTCAGCTCTGTGTTGAGTCACTGGATATGAAGCCAGGACAGCAATTGGGACACTTCAATTGGCCTCAGTTGCCCAGGGTTAAGGAGCAGTCAGAGCCATACAGAGGAACTGTGCTCTCCACAGGCAGCCTCGGCTTTCCTTGGGTGGCCGGCCGCCTGATGTCTTTATGTTGTCGCACCCACTTTGCTGAGCAGATTGGATAACTGAAAAACACAGACAGAGTTTGCCAAGATCAGGATTTCTATAAACTGCAGTTTAAAGCATCCAATTTACATATGTGACAGAAAATGCCTAGCAAATGTATACCTGGGCTGGCTCCAAGATGACCTGTTTGATGAAGTAATGTCGGAATCAAGCCAGCCCTCTGTGGCGGTCTCGTTGGTTTGGTTCCTGCGCCATGTAGATCCGCAGTATTCCAGGGCATTGCTGATGACAGTGCAGCCAGTCTGGCTCACCACCAGGACTTGGAAGGGCAGACCAGACAAGCGGGCAGGGAATCACCCCACTCAGCTGCTGTTCACCCTGCAAGCCAAAGCCCTATTGGGTAGGGTGGTCCCAGCTGGACAAGCAGCAGGAAAGTTTGCCTGACAGCGGTATCAATAGCAAGCTATGCAGTTTTAGCTGGTTAGATTCCAGCAGTTACCCCAACACTATGGGCTCCCCAAGCCTTGGCTCTTGCCAACCTGCACCTAATAGTCTCCAGAATTAGGTCAGCAGGATACGACCCTCCAGTGAGAGAGTGCGCATTCCATTCTAACAATCTATCTCTGGAATTTCTATGTGTAGGTGGGATGCATAGAATTCTCAGTTTTGTTTGGATACTCTTAAGCACAGTGATGAGTTTCCGCATGTGACAGACACCCAACTGACCCAAAAATATATATATATATATTTTACACAGAATTGATGAGTCCTGAAAGATACTGCAGTAAGTAAGTGAGATTTGACAGCAAGTCCCTATGATTTAATGTGCTGGTGCATCTACAAGCAGATAATTTAAGAATAATTTGTTTATTTCAATTTTATAAAATGGGAAAGGGGGGCTGGGGGGTATTGGGAATACTGAGCTGCATTGAGCATGTGCCTAATCCTCAGAGCCTGAAGCTTGGAGCCCATTTATGTGGCCTA